CAAGATTTACCAGCACTTCTTGCCCTCACAGATCCTCCCCAGACCTTTCCCTTGTGCTTACAGGCTCTCCAGATTACCCTTTCTCATTTCAACTTTCCCTCATCTTCCTCAGGGAGGTCTCAACACTCTCTGAGCGCCACATAAAGATGCTCCTGACAGAAGCTCATACCCTTTCATGTGGATTCCTCCCTGCTCTGTGTATTCTCATCCCTGCAAGGTGATGCTTCTATGGGATGCTGCCATCAGCCCAAGCATGTCCCCTAGAAATGCCACACTCACTTGCACAACCTGGAGACCAGCTTGATTTCTATGTTAAAGAAATTGTTTCTTGCCTTTCTTGTATCACTCAAGAGAAAAAGTAAATCCACCTTGGATATCACCATGTTTAGCAGCAGCATTTCAACAGTCTCACCTACCTCTTCATCAATCCGTTTGCCTTCAGGGACTTCCTCCTTCAGCTGAGGGTCCCAGATCTACACGATGACCCTTCAGCCCATCTTCTTCAGAGCAAACCCTTCTCTGTATCCAGGGCCCCATGAACCACAGACATCCTTATCTTTGTCTTCTAGATGCTCTTGCCAAAACAGCACCTCAGAATGGTCCCCAAACCAAACTGGAGAATGAATCCCCAATATCCACAAGCCCAGGTACAACTGGGAATAGTTTCCAGGGACATAGAGAGGACAGGGCAGATGCTGAACCCCACAAGGACTCCCCTTCCCTTTCCTCTGCAGCACCAATCCCTCTGTGAAGGAAAAGCATCCACGCTCTTTCCAACCCAGAACTGAGCATCTCATATAAAATACAGAAATAAGGGACAGGGGTCCACAAGCTGCTGTAAAACCAGGGTGAACTCAGATTCAGGCTGCCTCCAAGACTGACATCTGCTGAGGCATTCACACCTGGTTTGGAACAAAATCAAGGGGAGGTGAGAATGAGGTAAGGAGCGGCTCAGCTCCATCAAACTGAGGTCATCCAGCTGTGCTGCTAGAAAGTTACATGGGAATGTTAAAATAAAATCTACATATTTTAAAAATGAGACACCTATAGAGTTTAAGCATTGCCAGAGTTTGGGAGCAGCAAATTACAGCCCTGACTAGCTGGAGGTTTCCTGGTTAAATTCTGCTTAAACTGCTAAATTAAATCTAGTGCTCTGTTCTGACACCTCCTCTAGAAGGTCTCTGAAAAATGGACAATCTGAAAAAGTACCATCAATTACTCTGCACTGGATGCTAGGCTTGCAAAGAAAAATGAAATTATTTAAATTAATTTTTAGTGTTATTTGGTACATTACAGAAATCGTTATAATTCTTCAGGTGTTGTGTTGTATAGCACTAACCCAGGACTCTTCTGAATGTAGTGATAATGGAGTTTTGACAAAAAATGCTGAGTGTGTAAGGAGCAACAGCAACCACTGGATTGAGATCACTACAGTAAGAGCAAAGCTTTGGAAAAGTAACTTGGCACTGGAGACATTCTCCACTGCAGCTGAAAAGGACTGAGTTTGCCCTGGAGCATCCCTGAGCCCACCCAATTTTTGCAGCAAGGCCAAGGGTAACCCCTCAGATCTCTTCCCCGACCTGGTGCTGGATGCAGGCATGTACAGCGTGACAGAGCTGCCCCCACATCACTGACCAAGCAGCACTCAGACACCTCCGCCCCGCAAAGCCTGGGAGCAGCTCTGGGAGCTCTGGAGCCTGTGCTCAGGATCGTGTCCCTCTGGCCTCAGCACAGACTCCTGGGCTTTGCTGCCGGGCCAGCGCAGCTGCACGGACAGTCCTGGGATGGACAGCACATCCAGCCCTCCCGAATGAACACAGCTGTGCCTGTTGCTTCATAAAATAGAGTTTTTATTTGTTCATACAAATAGTATGAATTATCAGAATTTAATTTTCCTAGAAACATCTTTCTCTGTGTAAAATTAATTTGTGTTGTACATACCACAAAATACTCCATATATTTTTTTTTTTAGATTTTCTTTTTTGTGGCTTTTTCTTGGTTTGTTTTTCTTTCTGTTTTGTTATTTTTTTTACAAATTGGCTACTACGCTATAGAACCATGTTACAGACAACACGTCACTAATAGCTATACTGCACTTCTGAATACAGGACTGAATGAAACTCAGCCATAAATTAATGTTACAATGTGAAAAAAGAATCAACCAACCAAACTTCTAATCACACCTCCAAGCTTAATTTTAAAAATAAGGGGGGGTATTTAAAAAAAAATGCACTGATTCCAATATTAGCAACCAGATGAACACCACAGAGAATTCACCTTCATTGTCATACTTGTTACTTGTTAGGTAAGGCTTTTTTACATCAAAAAAGTCTAGTGCAGACTTCATTATGAAGGATATTGAATCAGGACTAATAATTTGCTTATGATTAGAAGAGTTATTCCTCACTCTCTGTATTTCCATTCTCCAACAAGTTTGCTTCACAAGACTTCTTCACAGCAGAGCTTGATTATACAAATTAAGCCCACACTCTGATGTACAGCTGAGGAAGGCATTGGGATATTAAAAACTTGTTTCCAGGAAAGCGAGGAAGACATAGGGGATTCCAAACTCTTCCAGCACTGAGCAGCTGGCACACACGCTGGAGGGAAGTGCCTGGAAAGGAGCCCGTGCCAACACACGGTCCTGGAGGCTCCACCAGTAAAACACTCTCAGAAGTGGCACAGCCAAGGCTGGGAGCTCACCCAAGGGCCTAGTGGAGAGGTCAGGCTTCTTTCCATGCATTGCATAAGCTGCTAGAAGGAAGACTGAAGTTTTGAGAACCAAAAATCACTTGTTTTTCCACCATGAAGTATTTTCTTCTCAGTGCCTGCAGCTCCTTCACCTCAGTTACCCAACAGTGGCAGGGTCTGGGATAAAACAGATACACTCCTGCATTCATCACCTACCCTGGCAGCAGGACACAGAGTCAGGGACCTGGCTGGAGTTGAAGCCAAACCCCTCAAAAGTGCATAGATCCACCCAACTGCTCAGGCCTGCAGCTCGATTTTGCAGGACAGGAAAAAAGCAGGGGCTGTCAGCCTGCACAGCCCAGCAGGTCCCACATCCCACCTGTAGCCCCTGAAGTCAGACTGCATTGGCTCAAAGTGTCATTTCTTCACTAGAAATGGCTCAGGGCAAGAAGAACTTCCATGTTTGTGGGAAGTTGTGTTTGGAGGCCAGTCCCAAGGAGGGATTTGCATCCTGCTCCCAGCAGCTTTGTAGGCAGCTCAGCCTGATGATGTTACGCATAAAATCTCCCTTTCCTTGAGGTCACCCACGTACACTGCAACCCAAGTGTGAACCTAGACACGGTGGTGCAAGTCCCTAAATCCCTTTGGAGGTGTGACACTGCTGAGCCAAGCCAAAAACCTTCAGCTTTAAACAAAGCTCCTAAGAGCAGCTCCCTGGCACCAGCAGCAGACCCCAAGCCAAGGCTGCTCTGCTCTGTCTGCCAGAGCAGGACTAGATCAGACCCAAACAGAGCAGCCCAGGCTCTGAGGAATGTTTTCATCACCCACAGCAGAGAGATTGAAGGGGCAGGCAGGAGTGAGGAGGCTGCAAAAGTAAAACAAACATTTGGGAAACACCACTGTATGGGCCCCACCACAGCTGGACACAGCTCAGCAATGGGCAGCTCCAGGGGGGAGCTATGGGTAACTGCAGAGGCACAGGGCATGGATTTCTGTAGGCAATAGAGAAATATTAGGCATATGAAATTAGGTGTTCTGTTCATTGGTGCTTTTGTTGTTTCCAGTTTCACTCACATTGCATATGGAAGCACTCCCATGGCAACACCAGGAGATACTGGGTGCAGTGCATTATTTCAGCACTGCAGTTGAGGTGTGGGGAGTTTTGCTGCCCAACAACATGATATCTTTGTTTCTGTTAAGAATTGAATGAGAAAATCACTTCTGCTGCCACCTTGCTCTGAAAGTGTTCCAGTCAAGCTGGAAGAATTTCTGACAGCAATGATAAGGCATCGGACACACACAGTGCTTATCAGCACCTCCTGAGCTCACAAAACACTGGCAGAGCTCTCAGGACAGCCCACCTAATCTGGCCTGGAGTCCCACAGCAACTGGTTACACACAAGGAGAAGGATTTCATTCCGGTTAAAGGTCTGGAGCCTCCTGTCCTGCCTGGCTGCCACCCCTGTGCTCAGCCAGGGCACCCAGGGACTGCCAGGAATATCCCAACACCAGCATGCCCAGGTTGCCCCCTGCCTTCCTACAGATTCACCCTTGCTGGTAAAGCAGCACTTCTTCTTGGCTCTAAGCAAATAATGCTCCTTGGGATATACCATGGGTGGGTGGTGGACCAAAAAGTGATGGGAATTAATAGGGCTAAGGGTGATGTTCCCCAGTCTCATGCACTGGGAGGTGCTGCGGTGGCTGTGGGGCTGGAGGTAACAGTGCCTGTGCCATGTCCTGGGACATGCTCTATGCTGGGATGATGCCAGGCAGACACCTGGGGTTTTCCCAGTGGTTCTCCTGGTGTCTTTGGTGGGTGGAGGTTGCTCCACGGGCTGCAGGCATTGCCATTTCCCAGCAGTGCCTGGCGTGCGTGGATATTTTTGGAATGACACTTTCTGCAGGTCCCTCTGACCACACGTCACACACAGACACAGCATTTTAGATTTGTCCTGCAGTAAAAATTTTAAATGCATAGAGGGATTATGGGAAAGAACACCCTGGACAAAAAGCAGGAAGGAAAACCGTACTGAGAAGAGCTCTGCCCATGAAACAGGCTCTGCAGCTTCTCTGCCAGAAAAAGAGCACATTGCTCTCCTGGCAATCCTGAGCAGGAGCCCTAGGGCTTGGGGTTCCCACGCTTACAGCCACTGGCAAAACCTGCTGCTGCTCAGCAGAGGTATGTGGGGTGCAGGGATGCCCAGCCTTCCTCCCACCAACCCCAGAGAAATCCCCCAGGGCCATGGAACTAACCAGAAAACTGTGGGATGAGGAACTACAACAGTGGAGCAGAGACTGGGACACCGGAATAGGGAAAGCAAGTGTTTATAAAGGCCAGATACCCGTAACAAAAATAAACTTGTGCTTTCCCTCCCTCCCTTCCCTCCCTTGCTTCTTTAGATTTTTAAATACAAATTTTTTTTTTAGGAAAAGTGGAAGCACTGTCTGTTACAAACCAAACCAAAGAGAAAGCAGAAGGGGAAAAAAACAAGGAAAGGACAGACATTAGAATTAAACAGTGTGGAATGTTAAACAGGTTACAGGCTACCATTCTAGCCAGTGCGGTTAGGCAGCTTAGTGAATTAATTGCTTAGGAATTAAAAATAAATTATTATAAAATAGATTTCTGTACATTTTACATACATATATATCTCTTTATATAAGCAAACCGTGCTGGGCAAATAAAAACAGAGGGCTTTCTCATGCCAGGCTCAGTCCCAGCCGAAGTCCTGCCCTGTCATCTGGTAGAACTTCATGTTGAAGGGCCGGTAGAAGTCCCGCAGCCTCTGCACCACCTCCTGGTCTATGTCAGGGTGGGTCCTGCCTTTGGTCTTCCCCAGGCAGTGGGGTTTGCTGCTGCCCTCCGCCTTCTTCAGGCACGGGAAGCCCTTGGTTTTGTTGAAGTAGAAGTGTTTGTCAGTGATGATCCTCTTGAGGCCCAGAAAGTCCTGGACCCTGCCCAGCTCCCCTGCGGGGTCGCTGATGAGCCTCTCTCCGCTGACAAAGAGGATCTGCCCGATGGGGAAGTAGAGGAGCCAGTTCTCCAGGTGCTTGGCATAGATGCCAATCTGGATGGCGCTCCATGAGGTGTCAATCAGGCCTGTAGTCCTGTTTTTGAAGGTCAGGCTCTCAAAGGTGGGGATGTCAGGCTTCTTGGAGAGCGTCTGGGTGTAGTCCGAGATGGCTCTGGTCACGGGGTCCCGCACCACCACGATGAGCTTGGTGCCCTTGGACATGGAGGAGATGCGGGCTGGGGCCTCCTTGGTCACAAAGTAGCTGGGGGTCTTCTCCATGGTGATCTGTCCCTCCAGTGTCTTGGGCATCAGGTCCCTGCCAGCAAAACACATAGACATGTGTCAGAAAGGCAAGGAAGAGGAACAAAAATATCCATATGCATTCACATGTATGTTCACACATATATACACAAGAATTCTTCTCCCTAAAATGCCTTCACAGGCCATTTGGATCATACAGAGAAATTAAATTCACATTGATTTAGGGATTGGGGAGGGATTATTATTAAAGGCCACTGTATTAGAAATCCAGCTGAGTAATCTCCCAGTTATCCGTGAGTGGATTAGCTGAGCTACACTTAGGGCCTGGACCATGGCAGCAGGTACCACACCAGCTCCAGACTGGTCAGGATGAGTCCTGAGCTGCACCAAGTGGCTGCTCTGGCTCATGTCTCTCTCACCCCTGAGACCTCAGCCCAAATCCAATGCTCCTTTCCCCACAGGAATGAGAGGATGGTACAGCAGAAAAGCAGGATATCACTAGAGCACATCCACCTCACTTTCCCTCAGCATCCCAAATGCAAAGCTTTTCCCAATTCAGGCACAAGGGTGCAATTTTCCCTGGCTTGCAAACAGCAGGACTTCACTGACAGGTGTCCTTTTGCACCCAGTTTCACCCCCTAAGCAGAACTGCTTTACTATTCCCTATCACTTGCTTCCTCACATGAACTAGAAGGGGCATCAAGAGCTGCCCATGGCATCTTTGGCACAGTCCAGGAGACAATGAGGACAACCTCACCCCAGCACTACCCCACAGGTTACAGCAGGTCAAGATATGGGACACAACTGTGGAGAACACAACCTTGTTGCAGGACAATGCATAGGCAGGACATACCTTCACAAAGTACTTTTAAAACTTCAAGCATTCAGCAATTCCACCTTATTCCCTGGCTATTTCTAATTAACCACATGGGGAAAGAGTAGGGAGCTTGCAGAAATGATGGAAGTGACACAAAGCAGGAAGAGTAATTTTTTCCTATCATTCACTAGGCAAGTTAAAATATTTTAGACCATTTGCCAGTTCTTTTCCTTTATAGCCCAAACGGACTCATTTGCTCTGGGTTGTGAGACAGTTGATAAGAAAAGGCAAAAGGGGAGTCAGGCACGAAATTAAAGCTATAAAACTTGATTAAGTTTTCAAAGCATCCACTAAGCACAGAGAAATAAGCAGCCAGTGTGTGATCTGCGAGCCTGAAGCTGTGCTTCCCTCAGCCATATGACACCGTACAGAGGCTGTTCCCAGCAGCCATCTCCTCCCTCACTGCTTTTATGCTTCCACAGCAAAGATCACCAGGGCTCTTGCTATTAAAACAGCCACGGATAATTTGTGCTAAAGCCAATGGCTGCCCTGATTAAGAACTCAAGGGAAGAAAACTGACCAATCTGTTCTGAGGGCAAATAACAGGGGATCCAGGAATAAGAGGTCTGTTTGCATTGAAAATCATCCCATTTCTTTGAAATTTGGCCAGTAGCTATTTATGCAACTACTGGTGAGCTCATGCTGTACCTGGCATTTTACTTCATCAGCTTCTGGCATTACCTTTGTGCAATCTGTTTACTGGCAAGGGGCACCCAGTGGCTGCATCTCCATCCTCCTCGCTGTGAGCTGTGCCTAGAGGCTGCCTGTAAAGCCCCTTCTCCATAGTCCCAAGGTGGGAGACAGTCCCTGTGCCAAATCTGCATGGCACTCTGGGAGAAGTGGTGATGGAAAAGCTGAACTGGGGAGGAAGAGGATATCAGTTTGTGAAAATCTCCAGCCATGGCCAGAGGTGGTGGCAACCCTGAAGGCTGGGATTTCAAGTCCACACAAGTGGAGTTTCACATGCAGATAAAAATCATGCTGGTCTACCAAATACCTGGGATGTGAGAGCTTCTGGAAGGCAGGAGCCAGCATGTGTGCCAAAAACAGCAACCAGAATAAACCTCTGACTAATCCTTCACCTTTCTGGCCAACTCTGCAACCCCATAATGCTGTCACAGAATAGGGCCAGTCAATAATGCTCAGAGCAACTCTTAAATTTGTCATGGGCTGATGTAGATTTTGACATTTACTCATTAAGTGGAATCTCCTTTTATGGCCACATTAAACCCAAGTTCTACATCCTGCACTGACCACCAACTGCTTTTCAGCGCGATTGACGAGGTTGTTTTCCACCCATGAAGTCTTTAATGGCCTGAGGCCTGCCTAGAGAGGAAAGGTTCCCAAAACATTCTCAGGTTGCCCATGTTGCACTGAAGCCCTTCAGCTTTAGGTCAGGTTCATCGGATTGCTGGTTGTATGGGGCCCTGCATTTTGGGACTGATTTGTCCTCCAGGACTACTACAGCCACTATTTATCAGTCTCATGGGAATGATGCAAGGTTTATTATTCCACTCCTTACACAAGAAAAGGCATTGGGTAGGGTTAGGCTGTGAAACAGGAGGAAATTGCTGGGGATGGAGTGCCAAGTCAGTTGATTCAGTTGGGAAACACAGGATTCTAATTAGCATTTCAGCAAATATAGAGGAGCACACCATAAGTGGAAGAAAGCAGGGAGTAACTCTTTACCTAAGAGGCATCCATTGGCCTGGTGTTCATCCCTTTGCAGAGCAGTGCATCTCCTGAACCCACACTGCAGTTGTGGCTGAAAACACTCAGTTCTGAGCAACCTCCCAGATTGTTATTTTTGGAGAGGGCCTGAATTCTTGGCAACTTAAGAACATTTTTCTGGTGACCCATCACAGCAAGCAAAGCACAAAAAGGCACATTGACACACCTACTGCCTTCAGGTTGGCCAACACAGACGGAGGTGAGCAGAGGTAGAAACAGAACCTTCAACCCATGTACAAGACCTGGATCCACAAAAAACAGCCCTCAGGCTCTTGGTCCTGTACTCCCTTCAATGTACCTGCATAGGTGCCAGGCATAGCCCAAAACTGACCCTCAAGATTGTCTCAGACTCTGCTTTGTTTGTACAGTGGCTGCATGAAAGGAAGACAGCTGCAAGTGAAGCCAAATATTATGGCCCATGGATGCAGTTTGAACTTCTGACAACACCATATCCAGGAAAGCAAGGTTTTATTGCATGGGCATGTCAATTGTGAGGAGCTTTCCCATTGTTTCCATAACCTCCCACAGAGGCACCATCCATCATACTGGCAGCCAGAGACAGCAGAGCCTTGGGAACAGAAGGAACTGGTACACTGGCTGGTCTGAACTCAGAGTGGTGGAAAAATCACCAAGAAGAATTTATTCCCATTCAAGCCACAGCTGGAGAAGGGCAACTTGGCCCAGCAGAACACTGCAGCTCCAACACAACACACTGGACATACGTTTTGGTGGAAGGAGGACCAGATCCAGACCCAAACATATCTGTTCCTGGGGCTCCAAGACAGCAAGGGCCATGCTAAATTGCTGCTGCTTTGGGAGGGGAAAGAGGACCTGTGATGGTGAGAAGCCATGATGCCCTGGCACATGCAGCTCCTTGTGAGAAAGGAGTAGGGTCTAGCAGAAACCCACTTTCAGCTCAGGGGTGGATACAGATCACCCTGGGGCAGCTTGTGACCACTGGGGAGCCTCTGTCTCCAGGGAGCATTCTCACAGCACCACAGAGACATGGGCAGCTCCTGCCAGTACTGTCTGACATAAGGTGAGAAAGGCAGAGGTACAGCTACCACTGCTGTTTATATGGGAGAGCAAAAGGAGATGACAGAGGGAATCAAGCTATGGGAAACAGGGAGCTCAGCTGAGCCCCAGGGCTGGATAGAGACACCACTGAGGACCATAGCAGGAACTGTAGAAAATATAGTACAAAAACCTTGGCAAGCCATCCCTCCCTGCCTTGTTATCCTCCTGCCTTCTGGCAACCTAGAGTTCAAAGACCTCTGGAGACAGCATTTGCATCCAAATCATCCCATTTCATAGTGATTGTGAACTGTCTAATCCTTTCAAACCCACGAATACTTCTGGCCTTGAGAACATCCCACAGCAGAGAGTCCCAGCACCAAAGCACTGCCTCTACCTCCCATTTCAACTCCATCCACACTTCCCTACTTGGGAAGGGATGAGCACCTGCTTACTGAGTATGGAAGAAGGAAATGAGGATGAGGAGCACCAGCAGACTCCCAGAATCCTTTATTCCCCACCAAGCCCAGCCAGCAAAGCACAAGTGGGGCTCAGCACTGATGACTAGGGCAGAGCTGCCAGAAATTGGGTCCCAGAGAGGAGAGGAAGTTGCTTTGTGAGCACAGCTATGAATTTTGCACAGCTATGAATTTTGCACAGGCAAAGAGCAAGCCCCTAACCCTGAGCTATTAACATGTCAAGAGGAACAGAGGAAAAGCTTTTCCTTTAATGAACATTTCCTCAGAGAAGTCTGCACCCTTCGTAGGTGAAGTGATAGGCTTAGTCTAAAGATGGATTGGCCTACTTTACCTATTAACCACTTAAACTAATGTAATGAAGGCTCTCTTCATTCAAACAGTCCTAATCCCCAGCCCCATGCAGCTCTGAAGCCTGAAATAAGAAAGATACTAAGATGAACTCAGCCAGGCTGTTGCTTGGAGAGGCACCAGGCAGGGGATTTTATGGGGGTTTTTTAAGTGCAAACTTTTCCAATGTGAAAACTGGACCCAGAGCGAGATAAATTTACAAAGTGGGAATGACAGGTGGCCACATAGTAATCCAATCCTGAAGTCTAATGCCCTTTGTGGCAGCTTTTGTCTGCACAGAGGGGCTCCAGGCTAATCTGCTGCTACTTCTCAAGGAGGAACAGGCCAGGGGGGCAAGGGGACCCCCACAACCTGTTGCTGCATTGTTTGCCACAGGTAGGACAGAGCAGTGCAGGGCAGGGCACAGCAGTGGTGTCTGTTTTTATCCCTGGGGATGTCTGTTGGTCCTCCCATGCACCTCCTGCCATGGCAAACACCTGCTGGGATAAACCTCCCACTCTGCCAGAGCCAGGAGCCCACAGCAGGGCTGAGCCTGGGGGGCTGCAGACACAACCAGCTGCCTGCGGGCGGGGGTCACCGTCAGGCTGCATGCTCAGGTGTCCTGCT